TTAGACTTTTAGACTTGGACGGACTTTTAGACTTTTAGTCTTTTAGTCTTTTAGACTTGGAAGTTTTAGACTTGGAATGATAGGACTGAAATCTTTTGGGGTTTTCCTTTAGGACATCAGAAAGGTGCCTGAGATATTTATGATACTCTGATCTTATTAAATGTTAGAGCCTTGAACCTTTGGTTTAAAGATTCAGATGGTTGAGCATTCAATTGACGCCATAGCGTCTTCTTTTTTTTAATCAGGCGAAACGTTTCTTTTTTGATCCATGGAGGGTTTGTTCTTCTTTTCACTGTAAATCGTGGGATGCACATATCTGCTGCAGCGAGCAAGGGATCCTTTACTTTACCAGCACAACAATCCACATCATCCTCCAAGAAAGCACCGTTCCATGGAACATGTCTTAATTAATCATTCAGCTCAGTGAAATTAGCTTTCTTATAGTTGCAAACCTATCTGGGAGTTGACTCATGAGAACGCCTAGATTGTGTACTAATAGTGAATGCTACTGGTAAATGGTCAGAATCAAAGTGATCTGGCAGAACCTCGATATTACTAATAGCTTGAAGGGTTTTTGTCAAGATTAAGTCCAAAATAGTTGCAGTTCCATTTGAAATTCTTGTCGGAGAATGATTACATTGCACTAAAAAGTGGTCATTCAGCATAGAACAAAAATCCAAAGTGAGGGCATCGTTTGAAGTAGGAGATATAGTGTTCCAGTTGATACATGGAAAATTAAAATCACCAACTAAGTAAAAGATAGTAAATCGTGTAGCATCAATTCTGTCCAGGCATTGTCGAAGAATTATAGAATATTCATATATGACATTTGGATTTCTGTAACAAACTCCAAATAGCACACTGTCCTTAGATTGCTGACATATCTCAACCAGTACAATTTCAGCACCGTCAATTTCAAAGTCTGATATCCTTATAGCAAATAAATTCTTATGAACTGCCAGGAGAACACCGCCTCCTCTTCTGTCTTTTCTATCCGTGCGATGTATAGAGTAGTCTTTCATACCCAGTTGAAAGTCCATGAAGCCAGAATCCAGCCATATTTCAGTTATTGCAACAACAGGTATATGACTCTCCAGAAGTAGGGCATGTAGGCCGGTGATTTTGTTTCGTACACCAAGAGTAACATCATGCATATTGAAGCTGTTCAGCGAAGAGCTGCTCGCTTCGCCCTCGATTGTCATGATAGATATAACACTAGTGTATCTGGTCTCATTAAGCAGCTTGGCTGGGACAGTCTTGAATCCAGAAGAACTCCAAATAGACAACATGTGTTCTGCAAAGCAGTTAACAACAAGATAGCCATAAAATTACCTGAGGATCTGATGCAGCCAATAAGAGCCACAAGAAACCAACATTCACAATCTTTTATTCAATTACCTAATGGCCCTAATTATTATAACAGTAGCTTCTTCCCAAGGACCGTCCGTGAGTGGAACTCTCTAAATGAAGAAATCGTTACGGCCCCATCTCTAAGCGTATTTAAATGTAAAGTATCTCAATTTCTTAGATTAAATGAAATCTAATTTGTGACCCTTTTAGTAAATCGATCGAACTATTTATATATATGATACTGTGTATTATTATTCATAGAATTTCCATTTATCAATTACTTATTTATTTAGATCATAATTGATACCTTTACTGTAATTATTTTCATTTTATTGTAACTAACATTTTTAAAATCCTTGTGATACGAAAGTGTTAAGGATAATAAATGTACATGTAGATGTAGACGTGGGCTTCTTGCCTAAATAGGGACTTTAAGCAAACCACGACGGCGACGGCAACGAGAACGTGGAAAAACAATAGATCTAATTGGCAGACCAATAGCTCAGCATGTGCGTTTTAAAACTTTGTATATTTCCTAGCCGTCCTTTGCAAAACAAGAACATGAAATCGCCAAAATTTGCGTCGTCTGCGAAGCGAAACCGCGGCGGAAAATTATTTAAATTTACATCTGGAACTCAACGCTACTTTTATGCGTTATGTTGAGTTTCAGGTCTGGCACCCTATGAGACGGTAAACACATGCAGCCATTTTGGAAATTCTAACCAAAATTAGAAACTCATTTCTGAATCGACATCTTCCATGGCGTTGCCGTCCTGAATGCTTAAAGTCCCTAATAAGAAGACAACGCAGAGATTTCGAAGACTTTTTTTCGAACATCAGCACTGTTCAATGGCATTGATAACTCAGATTCGATTGATACATCATCCCACCAATGATGTATTAGAAAAAAAAAGAGTCAGTGAACTGAGGTAAAGGGCAGTCACAGCATATCCATTCTTCATCGCTCGAAGCAAGTGCTTGATAAATTTCTCTTTTCTGTTGTTGAAGGGAAGCAGGGATGGCGTAGTGGTGAGAGCACTCGCCTCCCACCAACGTGGCCCGGGTTCGATTCCCGAACCCGACACCATAAGTGGGTTGAGTTTGTGTTGGTTCTCTTCCCTGCTTCGAGGGTTTTTCTTCGGGTTCTCCGCTTTTCCTCCCCCACAAAAAACCAACATACAGCTGATCCCAGTTGGCTGTAAGCTGTGATCCAAGATCACACATGGACCGTATAGCGGCTGCCAAAGGCGCCATTGTAAGCTTTCGGTTCGACCTTGATGAGCTGCGTCGTTGCTGTACTTTGCGACGGCGACTAGCAGTGAAAAAAAAAAAAAGAAGCACATTCCAATACATCGGCAGTGAAACCATGATTGACAGCTATCACAGATTATTCCTTTTTATTACATCTTACCGGCTTGCTGCACGTTTTACAGGGGTGTTTGTACTTTCTAGTCTGACCTTGTGTCGAGTTTAAACGTGACGAGCTCACAGCAGACTCGTATCCTGGATTTGTTTCAACATTTCCACTACGCAAGAGTCCACAAACAGAAGGGTTGTGTGTAGATGTTCCATTAGAACATAACTTATATGTCTGGAAAGATATCTCACTCGTTGTAATCGGCAAAGTGTTTCAAGATGGCCACCTCGCAGTCCAAGAAGAAGTGACGATTCAAGTCCATTAAATCGATTCAGAGGCAACTGCAGGACGCCAAAGTGATTCTTTAAGATGAAATTCTACAAGCGATGTCGTAATATTCAGCCACATGTTGTAGAAAATAACAAAACAATAAGAAATAGCAAGAGCTCACACGGAGCTAACTACCCGCCGTCATCTTGCGCCACATTGCGGTTTGCGGCAAAGGTCATAGTGACTCGGAGGTGGAACAACGATGGAAAGTATGTCTTCCAGCACGGACAGATTGAACAGGAACTTTAGGTATGTAATTGGGTTATTTTAAGGGGGCTCGAACAATAGTTCGTGGTAAACCCAGAAAGCGATTGATTAGACTAGCTGACAGCGGACATCCAGGAGTTGTGGAGACAAAGCACCTGCTCTGAGAGTTACTGTGGTTACCAGGGATTCAACCTCTGAACAAATGCCGAAAGAAATAAAAAAGGTGCATCTACCACATGGCCATTAGCACGAGTTATCCATGGATTTCTGTTATCCTTTTCCAAATAGACACTGCTTATTAGATCACTGATTTTTGCAGCAGATTTACGGAAGTAGAATTTTTAGAGTCTACGTTGGCTAAGGCTATCATTCCTAAACTTAATGGTATCTTTTCAAGACAAGGAAATCCTGGCCATGTCAACACAAACAATTTCCTTCCATTCAATAGGAAAGATTTCGAAATACGTGCAACTCAATTCGGTTAAATCATCACAGAATAACCTCCGCGTGGCCCGGAGCTAACTAACGGGAAAGGAGAAACACTCATGACAACAGTGGAATCTGGAAAAAACAGTCAGAACAGCCTCCGCATAGGGAAAACACTGGAAAAAAGAACAGTTAAGTTTCTGCGTAAATAGAGGGCCACCCCTCATCTAACGACAGGAAAGTCACCGTTACTGAATGGATGGAAGCTCCTCTGGAGATTTCCAAGCTGATTCAGCAAGATGTTCTCGTTTCTTTTAGAACTTCTCACCACATTGTTTGTCATGCACGCCGGAAGCGAGAACGAATGGATATGACCAAAAAAGGAGCTTGTTTGCAAGAGGCAATTGTTATTGTTGTTGTTGTCGCTGATTTTGTTGTCTTTTTTTGTTGTTGTTGTTGTTGTTGTCAAGGATTGTACAGCTTATCGTCTGGGCTTCGCATTTATTCGCGACCATAGTGTCTGTTACTGTTACAGATACGCCTCCATCTTTTCGTCCCCTCAATTAATTCTCAAGTCTTCACCACCTCGCACATAATCATCAGTTCCTGCACGTCCCATTTAGACTATTTACACTCCGCTTCGACCCAAACCAGTCTTTTCTTTCCCCTATATCTAACACATAGCAGGACAAAGTGGCGGTCAAAGTTGGGGTCAGTGAGTTTAAAGGGCCCTCGTCTTTCAGTTTTCTTTCATTTTTCGATGAAACCAGTGGTAATCGTGTTGAAATAGATTCTAAAATTAAATTCTCTGCCAGAAGGAGAAAAAAATTGGGAACGCTTCACGAATTTGCGTGTCATCCTTGCGCAGGGGCCATGCTAATCTTCTCTGTATCGTTCCAATTTTAGTACATGTGCTGCCGTTAAGCGAGCACGTTTTAGAAAGGGTACTTATCATCTACTAATATGCGTTCACATCTATCCTGTCTCACTTGTGGTAGGTATATAATACTCGGATTTGCATAACGAGTGTCTGACTAGATTTTCTATTGAATTATTTTTCTCTTATAAAGGAGGAGTGGAGAAAGAACAAAATTGGCCTTGAATTTTTTTCTGCAAGATAAAAATTGGGCCAGAAACGATGTATTAGAAAAATTTGCGGGTACGGAATTAAAAAAAAATCATTTAAAACCACCAGTGTGTTTTCGATCGTGGAATAAACGACAATAAAAAGTTTGAATTCTGCGCCTTTTCAAATAGTGGGCAGAGAGAGGCCTGAGAATACCAACCATTCATTCGTCCTCAATCTCTCTCTCTCTCGCATCGTCCAAGATGGTGGATGTGCGAGCTTCGTCGAAAATGGAGAAAGGTTGTGGTAAAAATTCTTCTTCAATGCTTCTTTATTTTGAAATGGGTTTGAAAGGGACAAAAACAACAGCTCTTGAGGTATGTAACTGTAATATTTGACCTCACATCGATTACGACCACAGCTTTCCCAAAGAAAAAAACTACAGCTTTCACGATAGTGATTATATTTTGGAGATAAAACGAAGGGTTTTGCAGTTCGTTTGCTTTTCCCTTACGTCTTAACACTAATTAATAGTTGAAGTTTCATCGTCCATGAGAATGAAAGGAGTGAAGAAAGACCTTCGATATTTTTAATTGTACTATTTGTAAGGTTAACAAACGAGTGTAAAAATGTTCGTTGGCTTACGTTATTTACATGAAGATGAAGGTTTCAAGCATCTATACTAGTCGAGTATCTTACAAAAACTTTAGACAGTAGGAAAAACTTACAAAGTCAGAGTTTGGTGAGGACGAAATTGATTATTTTCAAACGATGTAAATGTACTACGAACACCGATTGCGTAAGGGTTGTGTTCCTCTGTTCTTCGGACACTAGCACTTGCAAGATCTAATTTCTGATCGCACAGAATTGACTGTAACTGTCGCTAAGTTAAATGTTAAGTTATAGTGAGACATTATTGCGACCTCGTGCGTTGTGGCCTCGTGCGCTGTCGCTAAAAGGAGAGTTTATGCGAGTTTGTGGGGTAGTTATCTGCGACCATTTGCGACTTCTAGTTAATAGCGCTTTATACTATTAATAAAAATAGATTTAGTTACGTGATAACCTATGAGAACCCCCGCACAGACTCAGACAAACATTGCGACCAGCTTAAGGAAATGTATGAGCGCGAGCTGTAAAATTAAAACAAAACGACGGAAAATTTCGTCAAAAAATGACTTGGCGTTCTAAAAGGAAGCGGCATGGTTGGTACCAAACACTGTTGTTGGGGTGAGTGTAAGACAGACTCAAGATATGCAGATAAATGGCCAAAATCACTCCAAGAGTGAAAGGAATCAAGGAAGAAAGTATTCATTCCTTTCCCAAAACCTTCGCGAGACATGGCAAAGTGCAAGTGTTGTCTAGTGGCTTGTTCGTGTGAGTTTTTTACGGAGAAAAACATAACAAGAAACACTTGAGTTATATTTGTGCTCTTTACTGGCCTGGCGGAAAAGGTCCAACAGCCGAATTTCCCGATCCACTGAAGGCAAATCTAAGACCAGCGCAAGTAAGTTGAGCACATGCTCCTAAGAGGAAAGCACCGAAAGAAAGAGAAAATTCAGCATCAAAGTAACAGAAATTATTCAATGACAACCGCATGAACATTAACTACATAAACTACATGAACTGGCATTTAATAGAAACACAACCAGTATTGAGTGAAATATACAAAAATCCGCCGCTCGTATCTTACAAAAGAGGACAATCGCTCAAAGACACTCGTGACAGCCAAACTTTGAATAGGCTATTCTAAACACGCGCTGGGGAGTCATGTAGGCCTGTCAACCCCCTTTTTACATTGTTTACATCAGAAGTTTCTTGAAAAACTTTGGCAGCAAACCATTTTCCATGATCAATTGCCGGATCAAGGGTGTGATAATTCCTGCATCTCACACAGTCTGTACAAGATCTTCTCGTTTACTGCTTAATTTTAAGCCCCTACATTTTAACCACCGTTTTAGCTGGTCTACAGTGTATTCTTCCGGTTCTCTTTCAAATTTGGAGCCAGGAACGCCGTCCTCTTCGGTCAGAACCGTAAGGGAATAAGCGAACTACTCGGCATTTCCCTTGTAGCTCTCAAAGAAGTGGAGTTTGTTTGTCTGAGTCACGCGGGGGGTCTAAAATTTCATGACGTCGTTAGTATAAAGTGCTATTAATAAGGCGTACGGAGAGGACAATCAGTGAGCGTATTTTTCTCTCCCCTTGTTGTTTTCGTTTATTATTTGATCGACTATTGTTAGGGTTTATGCACTCGACCTTTGTGTTATGTAATAATTATTGTTTTAGTTTAGCTCCTTGTAATGTCGCTTAGACTAGGTCTTCTTGTTTGTGTTTTAGATTGACGTGTTTGATATCAGATTAATTCGTATTGGAATCAAAGTTATACGGGTCTGGTGTCAGATTTAGTACTACAATTGCATTGACTTCTTGTTTTTTGGTCCTGCATTCCAGACATACACTTGTTTCCTTAGCAAGAGTTCAAAAGCCATGTTATAATAGTCCTCGAGAGTAAACTGAAGCCTACCTTTTCATACTATTGCAAAATGCACCGGCAAGGAAACATAACCATCGATATACCCAAAGTCGCCTCCAAAGGACCAAAGCCGAAAGAGGTCTAAGTCGGTGAGGTTTGAGGTTTGAGCTTTTAGGAGTCGATAAAAATGAAGAAGAAATAGGGAAGGAATTAGTGACAAGGGGACAGTTATCAAACATAGTATACCCTTAATTCAAAACATATCGAATGCAGTTGCTTAAGCAGAGGCTCCCTATTCTTTTATGTGAAGCATGATTAATTTGTAAATTGTGATCAAACATGATAAGATCTTTTGTGTCCATGTGAACAAATTTTTTTATTTAATTGTGACCAGTGAAGTGAGAGCTGAATTAAATGTGATTCATGAACCATTATGTTTTGCATGATGAGTTTTGGGCTATTTTGTTTACATTGTTCTGGAACAGCTGTGGTTTGGTATTGGCCTTCCTGATATTGATCAGGGTTTCAACTGGAGACAGACTCCATTAATTTGATGTGATTGCCTCTAATTTTACGTGAATGTGAATAAATTTTGGAGGTTACTCATGATGGGTGAAATATTTGTATGTGACTGAAGGTTACAAATAGGTTAAGGGAACACTCTGAGTAGACTTTTGATGATTCGTACCTTCACTGGGAGTTCAAGTTATTTAGAGCTCAGCAATTTATTTAAAGTAAGGTAGGAATCAATGTTCAGTGTTGTTCATTCACACAGTTTGTTATGTTTTCTAAATAATTGTGTGAATTGAAACCAAACAAAGCAAACCAGTAGAAGAAGTCCAAGTGCTGTTCTGTTAACATTACTGGTTTCAGAAGATCAATTGGATGTTGAATTACTGCTACAGAGTTCATGCAACTTACACAGTTACTCAGGTTTTGTGTTTTGGATTAAAGAAGTACTCAGTTCTACTTATGAGATGAGTAAAATTATGATTCATGTTATCTATAGTAAACTTGTGTCTAGATATGACCTTAACGGTTGCCCGGACAGAACTGATTGAGTAAAAATAGAGATTTTGAAGTCATTCAATAAAAAGCTCATCTTAACTCAAGATTGCAACTAAATATGACTTGTCATATATCATTTTAAAGCTAATTTAATTGTCTATCAGTCGGTGTTGGTTTGTTCCACTAAAAGAATTCCCAGAGTTGTTCAGGAAGTAAAAGGTTATTTAGAGTTTCCAAGTGATATGCTTTGTACCTCCAAACACCACCTAGAACAATGATTCTTCTTTCCTGGTACTAATACTGTGGATTGACAACAGTAAAAGAAAAAAAAAGCAATTGTTAATTTGAGAACTTGTTTTATTTTTCCCTACACTTGTCTCCATGGAAGACACAAAACTCATTTTCTCAAACATTTGGCCTATAGAAATGAGCATTCATGTCAATCAACACTTCAGCCTAGCAAAATGTGTAAGGCAACACTGGAAGTAGTCTCCCTTGCAGCTGTTTTTAGTCTCATCAGGCAATGCTCCTCCCCACAAATGGCTGCTCACATTAAAACTACATTCCTTTTCCTTTGTTGTCTTTGCTCCAATGAGGTTACTGACATCGTTTCTTATGTGACCAATCAGACCACAAGAGATTGTAATCAATATCATTTTCTCTGCATTTTCAAATTCTACATATGATCATAGTTTCTTGATGAAGGAAACGCAGAGGAAGGTTTTGCAAAGTGATTGTTGCTCTATTTGATCCACTTCACTTGAGAAAAAAGAAAAAATTTATGTTTTTGGAAAAAGCTCTTTTGATTTTCCGGTGATTATTAGTTCCTGTCTGGATGTGAATGTGAGCTGCTATTCAGTGACCAGCGAGTTGTCAGTTTGTAAAGCTTGCTACCGATGATTGATCAAGTTCAAAAAGGCCTCTGATCATCTTGAAGAGCTCAAAGATGAATTGAAGGGAATCTTCAAGGATCGCGAACTTCCCAGAACGAAGCGCTTATTGAACGTTGAGAGCGACAGTGGAGAAATCCAAGCTTCATGCCATGGGAAATCCTTGAAATGTTTACAATTCAATCTGATCAATGCCACTTGTACTTGCAATGCTACAGCCAATTCTAGTATTTCTACCATGATCAGCGAACAGGTACATTATACTCCGGCAAGATTTCCTATTGGTTCTATTGGTGTGTCTCCTATTCAAAGTCATCTATACGGATTTGTGCTAGAAGCTTTCCCTAGTCAACTGACAGTAAGATAGACTGCTTTGAGTAGATAAGTCAAGGCCTGTGATTGGTTAGCATGTTTTGGTGCAGACACTTTCCAGAATATGGTAAGTAAATGCTGATTGGTTGAAATCCTGAATGGAATGCAGTTCGAATGTGAACAGCCTTTTCTGGGGGAGTTATTCGCCTGGCGTGACGATTCTGGAAATGGCTGCAAAGCAGTCTACACTGGAAGTGGTAGGCAAAAATTTCCTTATTAGGATTCTTTACATTCAGTATTCATTACAATCTCCTGGTACCAATTAGGGTTTAGATTTTCTGGTAGTTTTTAATAGATTTCTTTAAAACACGTGAAACTATGTCTTGAACTTCTTGCACTCAGGGAAATCCTAAGAATATGGAAAGACTGTCCATGTGGAGAGACAATTTGAATTTATTCTTTAGACCCCTGTGGTTGTCTTCTTTATTCCTCTGTTTTACCATCACAACAAAACTGTTTGGGTTTTGTTTCAGACTTACATCCACATACTTATCTTAACTGTAGATCAAGTAATATACTTAGGTTTCACTCTTTGGTCTTAACTTCATTCTTGCTTGATTCTGTGTTGAAACTATTAAAGTAATTTCTGTAAAGAAAAATTGCATGTATTTAATCAGTAATGTGATATGGAATTTGCTAGTAGAGAAATGCTATGAGACTGACTGAACTTCTTAGATTAATATCAAAGACAATTTAAAAAACAAATGAAATTTGGTGTTTTGGAGAAGACAAACTACTGGTGACTCTGTAGTTTGGATGGTGGCTTACAGAGGATGAAAACATGATCCACGTAAATATTGAGTGGTTAAAATTCCACATAGTAGGAGGCCAAACACTCCGCTTTATAAACGGTGGAGTCAAAGAGTTGAACTTGGGAAAAACAAAGAAACAATTATCCGAGTAGTATGGTGGAGACCTTGAAGCACCAGATTACAATACATTCCATTAGGCCAACAGCTTTGTTCATCACTCTCCACAATTGTTTAATTACCTCAAAAGGATACGAGTGTAACCTTGATGACTAAAATAGAAGAGCATAATGTAGCTTGTGCACTTTGTATAATAAACATCCTAAAGGAGTTAAACATGGGAATTTCTTTTAAGACAGGTTGAAAGTTGGCTTGGGATACCCCTATGCTAACCCTGCATAAGCAATAGATGCTCCCTCTAATCTGGGAATCTTAATCTGAAGGAATTGAATAACATTGATAATTATGTTATTGATTTGAAACACAATGTCATTAAAATGAAATTTGCCAGAAAAGGTATCCGAATATGGAGGGGATCTTTTACTCAAAATTTAAACTTTACTTGGCTTCTTAAATATGGTCATTTACTTTGGGAACAAAATGCTGATCTGTTACTCTTGTGAGCTAAAAAGCTGTTTCCTTTTACACCCTCTGGCTAAATGAAGAAAACAACAAGAATTTGTTTTCATGTCTCCCCTAAAATGGTTATCGCATCCAAGAAACCTACCCCACCCCTCAGAATATCCTGTCTCCCCAGGAAGGGGATGGAGACTTAGCAGAGTGGCCTATAAACTGACCTTTAGTGGTTAGGAGAGAACTCTTCATAGCTTCCTTTCGAAGTTGGTGAGTGACACGCTTCTACATTTGAATGTCAAGGGCCTACTTTGGATGCGTTTGATTGATCTCCGGTTTGTTTTCATGGTCAACCAGTCTGGTGGTCAGCTGTGGAGCAGAGAGGCATTTTGTCTGCGCATGTTCCATTAAATTTTTGGTTGTTGCGATTAACCGCTGGTATGCCCCCGCGCTGCGCGAACACATTTGTTTCCTGCCAATTGTACGAAGTGATGTGGTGGTAGTGGGGAATGAATTACAATGGGGCGTCTATTTGTGTTTGTTGTCATTCTTGTGATTTTTTCTCAATGTTACTTCACTAGAAGCGCGAAAAAATCGAAAAATGGTTGTATAATATGTGGGAGTAAGTCCCAAACACATAATTTTCAGAAGGCAAAAAATTATAAGGGATTTTAGTTGTTGTTTTGGGATAGTAGGAAGATCGATTGATGCAGAGAAAGTTAATTGTGAAGGATGTAGAAGGGCTGTGAAAGAACACCGGAAAACTGGACATTCATTTCGGCATGTTAGTGCTATCTCATGCTATCACTGTACATTTGAAGAAACCACTTAATAAGCAGAGATTACAATTTAACAAACGTTTTTTTTTATTCAAAAGTTTGTTGACATGAATTGCAACCAGAGGGGGCGAATACGCAAACACAAAAGATCAATGTTGATTAGAGAAAAGACAGATAGTGGTGTCGATAGCCATAGTACTAGAGAGGTGGTAGTTGTATCCAGGGAGAGTTTAATAGAAATGGAGGAAAAATTAAGGATTTTCTCAGAAAGTAAGTAAACTTTTTTTCAATCATTTTTCTCAGAAATACCATCAGATTTGGAAGCTAGAATAAGCAATAACAGTTCAAAACATACTTTGAAAAAAAAAAGATGTTTCTCTGCCAAATTTCCTGAACACTTCATTTTGAACAAACTACCCCTNNNNCTAATAATTGATGATTACACAGCCATCCACACGAAAAGAAGGCCACAGAAGGAAAAATTGTCAGAGGCAAAGACAATGTGTACTCTAGTTGTTAAAGCTTTTAAAGATATTCAAGCTGTACCAGCAACACATGCCCTTTGTACACATGACCAAAATGGTATAGACATTGAATCCTGCATACAACTAATTACTGCTGCATCATCTATGCATGACATCAGTAACAGTTATGCTTCTGTGATGCCTGACTGGCTGACAAAAGCATTTTTTAATCCTGAACTTGAGAGACATAGATTAAACATTCATCAATACTGTGACAGTGAAAATGTGAGAATGATGCGTAAAATGGATGATTTGCACCTCTTAGATTTTGTAGAACTTAGACTGAAGTCAAAGGGAGACTTTGATACTGCCTATGATGTGGCAATGAGCACTGGCTTGGCTGCTTATTTAAAGAAATTTACTGTTTTTCAGCCAGGGGATTGGCCAAGCCAATTTTACTGTAGACAAATCATATACGAATCACTTAAGAAGTTTGTCAGCTCTCATCCTGGATTTTCAGATATTCCTCCACAACAGGAATTCATTCCATCTGATCATTCCTCATATTCTTTTCCAATGACATCTGGTACTACTGATAATCTCTTGAACAACAGCTTGCCACAAGAAACATCACAGCCATCCATTCTGTCTATAGTACCCACTATTGGGCCTCTTCACATTTCCTTAAATAGCAGAGAACATATTGTTAATTCCTATCATCCATTTTTCAAAAAAATATATGAAACAATTTTCCCAAGAAGCAAATTGGCAGATAATCCCAAACCCTGGAGAGTTAGTCTTATTCTCGAGATTGTTTATGGTGGTTGGACACTTATACCGCACAACGTAATGGCAAAGTTCTCCAGGTTCAAAGACGTAGGGTATGGGACCCTATTCAATTTACTAGACAGCTATATACCTTTGGTGTTGTCAATGTATAGCATTTCTTTCAAATTTAACAATTTCTCTGAGTACTTAAGAGCAATGATCAGAATTTGGATAATGTTTACTAGCCTCCAACGCCGGCACTATAACAAAGCACCACTTGTTTGGATCAACATGTGTTCTCACTGGGGAAAACATGCTCCACAACTATATCGACTACTCAAGAATTACACTGCTATTTTTTGATGAATAT